GCCATCAGTAATAATTGTTATGCAAAAGTTAATGATACTAACCGGCTATTACAACTGTCTAAAAATGATCTATTTAAACTAAATACCTTGATGACTCCATTGAAGAAATAGAACTTATGAAATCCAACTGAATGAAATCTCTATACCTAAAGACGAAATATTCATAACCCGATGTACAACGTAAATTTCTGATACCAAAACCTTGAATAATAATTGTTTTTTTTAAAACTGACCAATCAGAAGGTTTCTTACCTTTTTATAGCATATGCATTTCATATCTAAAATATGCACAATACACCTAATCTCAATAACAGAAACTCAATGAATGAAGTAGTGAGAAAGTGAATAGAAAATTCGATTAATCTATTTCGAAAGATAGAAAAATTTTAAGTTTTTGAGAAGATATATAAAAGGGAATTAGTTTAAAATAATCCATCTGTTAGTTACTTCCACCTACCATTATTGTATATAGCACTGAAAAAAAAATGAATCTTTTATACACTGACCTAACTTTAGTCAAAATTCTTCTGAGTCATTTGGTATAATCGATTAGACAGATGCTTTCTTTGTTATTATGGTTTACTCAACGTCTCTCTTTGTACTCATTCAATCTTTGAGTTTTACTATATTGTTTATATTTTGTATACATGAGTGATATAGCAACCAAACAGATGTTTGTGTGGGTAGATAGGATTGATTAATGGTATAATGAAGGCTGCTTACATTTTAGTGCATAACCGCCAGCACATAATCATTAAAAAAAAAAAAAAACACAGTTTGTCAACTGCAAAAATAAACATTGCATGTAATGTGTATGATGGCTTTAGGTCAATAGTATTCTGGACCATTGCCAAATATGCTTGGGTTTGTTGACCAGAATGAAGCTATATACAACATGCATCCAACACTTAGCATGACTACATACACACAAAAAAACTCATAATCACAAAACAAAATCGATTGAAACATAGGCTGATAGCATTTACCATCACACCTAAAGAGCAATTTCGTCTGTCTACTTCAACCTGTATTTAAGAATGATAGCCTCAAATACTATTAATGCTATTACCATAATCCTATAGTTCATCATTACTAAACGAGAAGCCCAATACTATTTTGAGTTTGCAGTAAGTGATCTTCAACTTTTCAGATTGTATAGCTTTATATTTATATGAACAGTGGAACTGTAGCTGATCGGTCTGGGTAGTTGACTTTCAACCAATGGATCACGGATTCAAACCCCAATCCACCTACAGAGGTTTGGGCAGCCAGATAGTAACATTAGCCTTCATACAATAGGTGTGGTTCACTATCTACTGTACCAATGTGCGCGTGGTTGTTGAGGGCATTTCGATTTAAATAAATATGGTGAGCTAAGAGATCAAGGCCAAACTTTATGATTTTGTACACTAACGAATAAGAAATGATCGAACTCAAATAAAAAGGTTTGTGAATAAGACCAGAGAATGGAATGAAATCCAAACCAAATATTAATTTAATTCAATAAACCAATAGACAGGTCAACATGGAGGTGCACAAGTTTAATTTGCTAAACTTCATGAAACTGTAGACAAACAAACTAGAAATACACTCAGCAACCATGTGTATATTCATGCAGTAGGCAATGAGCTAAACTTATGGTATATGGGTTCAATATACTACCTTGCTTCTCAGACCTTGGTAGGTTGTACGAAGTATAAACTCATGACTAACTGGAAGTGAATAGAAACAGAATGATACTAAATTAAAAAAGGCATACGAAAGGAAGAATGAGTAAATAAAGGTAACAAAAATGTATAAAGAGATGAATATATCTACTCAAATGTGATCGATTTTGAAATGTGTTGATATGCATCTCCACCTATTGACTCTTACTAACTCGAAAATACCACAGTAAAGTAGTCTAGAAGACTTTAACCAATAATGGATGACTTCATGTACCCATAACATACATTCATCTGGTCATAGTTAACCTACTTTTAATCTGATCCTACTTCAGATTGCATAGTTCATCCATGTAACCAATAGCTCGACTTATAAAACCCATATCACTTCCTTTTCTTCCAAAGTACTTTATGTCTAACTTTCATATTGTTATTTAAAAAGTCCCTTATGACAAGTGAGCACAAGTACACGAATGTATATAGTCAGAACCCGTTACCACCTCTTCTACAATTACCGGTCATGTTCCAACTGTAAAAGACGACAGTGCAATAGACCTAACCCTTGATAAATTTGGACAAAGCAAGAAGGATGATATTAGTAGAATAAAATAATTTCATTTCATGAATACTCTTCAGTTGCATACAGTCTAAAAAGTATATAAAATATTCCCTAATTAGAATTACTAATTTTACAGAGGTAAGAAGTGTAAGAAAGGAAAGAAATAATAATAAATCCACGAAGAGTTATGTAATAGAAATGAAAAGTAAACAGCATCAAGGGAGTGAGAGAATAATCACACTCTTCTCCTGTATGCAAAAACCAAGTCGAAAGTGTTTTATTGCAATTGATTCCGTGTGGCTCAGTAATGCAAACATTTTCTGTACGTTTATTACCTGAAAAGTTGTTAGCTGGGAAATACTTTAACTATAACAGTTTCTGTCCTCCTAGCTATATGCATGAACTAATCAAAACACTTTACAACAGACCTAGGAAATTATGTTCTATGAATAAGTCACAGAAAGAACTAAACTTCATTCACAAGTATCTCTCAGAGAATACTTATCATGAGAGATTTATTATGAAGAGATCAAGAGAAATAAACACTCAATTGTGGAAGACAAGAAAGTTATTATTCACCATACACTCAAGAGAGATTCAGTATTCAAGTGAATAAATGCAAGAATCGAAGGAGCACTGAGAAGTCCCTTTCCTACAGCTAAACAGGTATCACTATACAATACCAAGTGCTCACTTAATTAGTCAAAACTGAATAATTACTCCGCTCATGTCACCCACCTTCAACTGTATTTATGAATTCACATCCACATCCACTTGCACTGGCAACTACATTCGAAGGACTGAGAGAAGGGTGTTCAGTCGGTTCGCTGAGCATATCCTCAAGAATCTGTGCTTGAAATGAAGTAAAATTCTAACCAGTCCAATTGCCAGACATCTCGAAGACATAGGACATCGGGTGGTAACTTCGAGTGCTTTTCAGGTAATAAACGTACAGAGAATGTTTGCATTACTGAGTCACACGGAATCGATTACAATAAAACACTTTCGACTTGATTTTTTCATACAGGAGAAGAGTGTGATTAGTCTCTCACTCCCTTGATGCTGTTTACTTTCCATTTCCATTATATAACTCTGTGGATTTGTTGTTATTATTTCTTTCCTTTCTTACATTTCTTACCTCTGTACAATTAGTACTTCTTTTACATGTTATTGATTTTCTGATTTGGGAATATTCTATATACTTTTTAGACTGTATGCAGCTGAAGAGTATTCGTGAAATGAAATGATATGATATTTTATTCTTCAGAGTTTGTCTTTCTTGCTCTTTTCAAGCTTAAAAATTAGTTGGATATCTATTTCACCGGTTCCATCAATAGTCATAAAAGGTATGAAGGTAAGTCATAATTTTAAGTATGATTTGTCACAGAGTGATTAACAAAAATTTATTTTGTATAAAGATGATAGATGATCAATATATTTAGTTTCAGATTGAATGAACTTCATAAATCCACTCCATTAAAGATAACGCAAAAAGTCAATAAACAATATGCAAATGACAGGCTAGTATATAAATAGATATCCAAACCAAGTTGGAATTCGATAGAGAGCATACACCCTAGTAAAGGATGAAAATGAAAGAGTTAAGGAATTAAAATATGTGAACAAGATATATCGAAAATGAATAAATATCCAGCTAAATTCATTCGCAAAATCGATCGGATATCGGATGAAATTAGGAGAGTATCCCACAAATACGATATCAGAGTATTTTACAGAACATCAAACACAACGCAGAGCACCTTAGCTCATTTGAAGGATGAGATCCCTCTAGATTCACAATCTAATTGTTTTTATAAAATAAAATGCTCAGATTGTAACGCAGTATGCTTAAGACAAACTTCCAGTGAAATCAAAATTAGGAAAAATGAACATCGAAGAGCTTCCACCCGATCCCTAGAAATCCAGTGGAATTAAAACTTGAAAACACATAAGCCATAGCTCTACACACAATAATTTCAGGTCACAAAGTCGATTTTGACAATATGGAAATTATTCAGAAAGATTTTAAAAATTATATAGAACGTCTTATAGAATAATTTCTTCACATAAAATGGAATCATAATTTTTTCAAGTTAGTAGTCATCGTAGACTGATATCATTTGGAGAAACAATGGAAACCTGGGAGCACTGGACAGCTGTTTCCTCCTAGTATGGGACTCCTCACCAGTGCGCACCCACGACCCCCCTATGGATCGAACCCGTGACCTTCAGGTTCCATGGCCAGCACGTTACCATTGAGCCACTGGGTCAGAATCCAATCGTCCATATTTACAACTTCTGTCAGTTCACGACGTAGCACAACCGCTATGTTCCTCCAACTGATGTCAGTAAACGATGAATACTAACTTGAAAATATTTCTAAATTCCCACAACTCCCTCGGAATCATAATTGTCTAAATAAGAAGGAATGAGGGAGTAAAACGTAGTTTGACTTGGTCTAAACCCACCCGTATATACTGAAATAATCAAAATACACACGATAAGAACTATCAACACATGTGTACATATAAATCTCAATCTGTAATTCATTCACTCTTCACACATAGTACACTACAGATTGGGTATGATCTTTATTCTATAATTCTGACAATGCAGAAGAACACATGTCAAGTTATCATATATAAGCTTGGATATTGTGAATTCTGGTTTACTATAACTTTGATAAGACTACCAGCACTAAATAGGTTTATATTCATTTGGAAATACAGACAGTAAAATAATGAAAGGATAATATATATTTTGTCTTAAAAACTTACAATCATGCGTTCCATAGGACTTCCACTGCTATAAGTGCTGACAAGAGTAGAAGAACATTTTTCTAAATACCATGGACGTGTATTTGATTCACTGACACCACTTACAGATAAAGTAAATGGACTACTAGAATAACCATCACAAGCGCATGAATCATCTAAGGAACCACCATTACCTGATGCCCAAACATAAATATTCCCAAAACCTCTTCGACCCTAAAATAAAATAAAAAGAGAGAAAAGTAATCGATGTTAAAAAGGATAATTCACTGAAGGAATGAAAAAGGATTTTTTCAAAAGGCTTTCTGTATTACTCTTTAATTGTACACTTCAAATGTTATTCACTCTATGATATAAAAAAAGTGACAAAAAATAGAAGCTTTGAAAGAAAAAACGAATCATACACAGTAGTCTTGTATACATTCGTGTAGTAGGCAATGAGCCACAACTATTGTAAGAGGGATATTAATGATACTACCTGAGTGCCCAAACCTAAATAGGTGGAGCAGGATTCGAGCCCGTGACCCACTGGTTGACAGTCATTTCTGTAAACCATTGAGCCACAGTTTGAATTAGGAGTCTAGACACTAACGAAACAATCAGAGAGATAACTTTCAAAAATTTGTGTTACATATTGATAGTATACAGCAGTTGTTACCTAATAGGATAGATGTAATAAACAGAAGTATTTATATTCATAAATGACTATTTGTACTAGGCATCCTTCATCTGAATCAGTGATTGAGGACTCTTAGTGACGTGGCTAAAAATTGGTCATAATGGCGCAGATGTATTCACTTTCTTGACGTCTTCTAAAACTTGAATATATGTACTCTAATATGACTTTTTTTTATCTACCTTTTCTTTGTGTACTACTGTGAAGTGTGGCAACTTGAGCTAATGTACCTGTGTGCGAATTTTTACGTTGTATTTTGCAGTCAGTCAGGCATCCTTCGGTCATTTCTTTGCCAAAGAAATTCATTAACAAACAGGATATGTTTTAAGTACAGCAATCATTGACAAATTTAGTCAGTATACTGATTTCGCAACATATAGATAAAAGTTTAAATATGTGAGATCAGTTGAATAATCCCTAGAAACTATATCTCAGCACTTGAAGTATTTATTAAGCACCCACTTGTAGTTATTAAAAGTGAGTTATGTAACGCGATAGTGTACACCGTTTAACTTTCATAGTTGCCAACTGTTGATCCAAAATACTTTCTTCTTTGTTGACTATTAACCATTCATAGCATCATGAACTAGTAGAAATGAATTCACAGAAAAATGGATACTAAATGATGACATAACATCAGCTAATGTCATAAAGATTCAATGACAGTGATATTTCTGGGCGCATGCAGTGTATTTGGTATTCCACCTTTTCTTCTGAAAATGAAGGTTTTAGAAAGATCTCAGCAAATAATACGACAAAAAAACCGATAGTGAATTATAAAAATCCAGGATGTTTTCATTCTTTGCTTTACAATAATTGATCTGCTGGTACAAAGTTCATCAGGAAACAAAACTAGTGACTGAAAGACAGAATCAATGTAAAACCCCACACACAAGTGTATCGGTTCAAGTTGCCACACTTCACAATGGTATATAAGAATGGATGGATAGAACAAGACTGAATGTAGTATGTGACAGAGTAAGCAATTTGAAGATAAAGGTCAGTGAAAATACTCAAACTTTAGAAGACATCAAGGAATGAGTATGTCTGCGCCATTGTGACCAACTTTCAGCCATTACATAAACAGTACTCAACCATTAATTCCTATCATCACGAGGACAGCAGCCAGGTAGCCTACGTCTGAAAACACAGGTCAGACCAACAATCAGGGACTTCATGGACTGGTGCCACATCTTAGTGTGGCCACCATAAACCCTATATCAACCTAACCCAACTTCCCATAGTATGGTTCATCGAGGTAGGCAGTGGCTCAGCATGTGCAGTAGCAGGCTAATGAACCGATTTCAGTTAATAATATAACTAACAATTTACATTCACTTATCATTTTCTTACAACTGAAATATATATATTTGCCAACTGATTTTTGTACTTTTCAAATATATGCAACAAGGTAACTCTACAAAAAGAAATGACTACTAATAATAGACAGAACAGACCAAGATAAGATCATACATTAGAAGTGCTCTGCAGTGGTACAAAAATCAATCAAAAATATTTTTTTAAAGAAGGATTTGAGAGGAAAAAGAGAGTAAGTAATGATGTTAGTGCACATTCAAGTTTCTCAACATGGTAAGAAGTAAAAGAAACTTTTTCACTGTGAACACTGTTAAGCCATATATCACTGATGGTCTTTAATCACTGACTCCTAAAATTCTAAAGATATAAAGAGGCTGCAGGTATTTAACCACAAGTTTCTTCATCTTTGCAGCATTAGTCGCGAGAGGTTGAGTCACCAAGTCAGCAGTGATGATATTAAGCGTAGGATAAGAGACAAGGAAAGCAAGTCGATAAAGTTGTCGACCTTCATAGACTAAGATGGTTTCGATACCTTCTGGTAGCTAAAATAAGGTGAAGCTGGAAAATGTTTAAGAACAGCTAAGCCAAGTTTTTGACGATTGGTCACAACTGTGCAGACGCGTGTAGGTTAGCTGCTTGGTTGGAACTTCCGAGATAATGGAAATCAATAGTTGAAGAATCTCAATGATATGGCTGAAAATCAATAACAATGGTGCAGATCCATACACTCTTTCACTAACCCTCATTTTCCCTTTTCTCTCTCTCTCTCTCTTTATTCATGTACTTTTCTTCATCCTATTATCACTTATTTTCTATGAAGTATGACAACTTAAACTTATGCAGTTCTGTGCAAAGAAATACATTGATTCATCTATCTATCGGACAACTCCACGTAGACAATCTACGCTTCTCTATAGGATTCAGTCAGATATTTTATAGATTTGTGTTATTTTCTGGTCTTGGTACACTTGATCTTTTGTTTAACTTATCCAACACAAGATATTTCGAAACTGGTAAACCTATCCGATAACGAAGAATAACAAGTAGCTAGTAATAAATAGCTTTTGCAAAGCAATCAAAATCCTATATTTTATCATGGTCACTTCTCAATAAAAATGGATAAATATGGAACACACTCAGCAATCTTGTACACATTGGTGTAGTAGGCAGTGCAGCCACACCTATTGGATGAAAGTTATTGATGATACTACCCGGCTGCCTAAACCTCAGTAGGTGGAGAGAAGTTTGAACTCGTGACTTATTAGTTGAAAGTTACCTCCCGAAACCAATAACCCCCAGCTCTCAATAAACAGATGTTGTAGGGGATAGTACTGAAGTTTGAAACTCATTACAAAAAATTCATTTTCTAATTAATGACTGTTAGATTAACCTTGATTGGTAATGTGATAATTACAAGAATAGTGATTGTCAGGGGAAGGTTAACTGAATTGGTGTTAAAAGATTGAACTACACCTACCAACTGAGTGCACACATATATCCTCTTGGTGAAAAAACCATCAGAATATATATATATATATATATATATATATATATATATATATATATATATTCTGATTAAGAAGCTGCGGTTTACACAGAGAAACACTGAGAAATATCTTGCCTTGATTTTCTAAACACGCTGGGCTTATATTAAAATATATTCTATTAATGAATAGATCAAACTCGGCGCTCAACTTTAGTTATTTTATCTTGGCCACATCTGATGTGTTCTGATGGCTTTTCACCAAGAGGATATCATATATGTGAACTCAGTTGACGAGTATAGTTCAGTCTTTCAATATTAATTCAGTTAACCTTCCATGACAATCAATACTCAGTTCCAGTAAGTCAACAGTATCAAAGATTTCAGTAAGATATAAATTTGACCATTCAGTTATCTGGATACTAATTACGGTAGGTTCATATACACAGTCTCTTTAATATTAGTTAGTTGAAAGTGATCGGCAGGATACCCTCGAACTTGATGATTGTTAGCACTTGTCAATAAGGCGTATCTGTAACTTCAAAGGAACCGATGTCACCTGTAGGCTTGGAATCCACATCATCCAGTGCTGTAATCAGACACATCACAACTAAGATATTCTCAGACAGTGATTGGATTCCTGCAGAGCTGGATTAGATATATTGACTGGTCACTGGAGGATAATCAATATCATGTTGTCGGTGAGTATAGATCGCCTCCATCCAATTAAAATCTATTCCAGCCCATTAAACAATGAATCTCCTAGTTTAGTGGTCATATTCCAAATGATCGAGAGAAATCAGTCAACACTAACTAGTCGATAAGAAATCAACGTGTAATATCACTCCTAAAAGCTTCACAATCACCTAGGGTCAGGTGTATACTACTAACAAGTAATCAATAAGAAGTTGGTTCAATTACTATCACATTGCTTATTAATAAAATACTAAAAGTAGAATATCCAAAACACTGAAATATTTAATAAATAAACAATAATCTTTTTAATTAGAAAAAATGGAAGAAAACCAATGAACAATGTATAACAGTTTATAAAAAAAGAAATCTTCAACACGCATGTATATAGAAATTACATTTTGATTGAGGAATAGCTAACCTTACAAATGGACAAAGTAATATATATATATAGCACATAACTCGAAATAATCCTCTTCAATGGGCATAAAACACTAATTTTTATGACCAAAAGGATGTGTTTGTGTATGTGTGTGTGTGTATGTGTGTGAATGAATACAAATAGATCCATTTTCGTCAGAAGAAAATCACCATGTCTATTAAAAGAGTGGCGGATAAAACTTTTTAAAATTGACACACTGTCAAAACGCGAATGAGTTGTTTAAAACACATAACAATATCATTTAGCTTTTGATTATCCTACCTTAAAAATAATATACTGAAATGAAATGTGATATAAAAACCTTTTAAAAAAAAGGGAATGGTGATTACAGAGTAAGAAAGAACAAGATAACAAGATGTTTTTCTGCAAGCAGTTATACACCTTAGACAACAGAGTTACATTCCTCTAGTGTGAATGAAATTAATAGTCAGCAATGTCACTAACAGGTTTACTCGGATGAACTTCAAGTTTTTACAAAAGTATAAATAATAATCGTAAGCTAACCAAATGCATGACTTTATACTAAATTATGAGCTATCCAGTTAACAAGACCAAAGTAGGCGGAACGGGTTTCGAACCGAGAACTCATTCCTAGAAAGACGAGT